TTATTATTAAATACCTAAATAATAACTTGTTTATTTTTTTAACCCATATTTAAACATTATTTGCCAGAAGCTTACGCCTGCAATATTCATTTTTCGCTTAGTATCAATGTTTTAATATGAACGTTAATTTACCATTTTTTAAATAAATTTTCGTTTTTGAATATTTTCTCATAGAACAGTAACTGTGCATAATAATAGTTGCCTGCGAAAAAACTATTTGTGATTTACAATTCTTTTGCTCAACATGTACAAACATATACAAACAATACTTATGTATGTACAATGTGGATTAAAAGATCAAACTTTAAGTTCAAACTTGCTTTTTTTTCAACTTTTCAAATGAAGACCGCAATTTATAATTTTCCGTTGTTAATTTCAAAACCGTAAGTAAAAACATTAAGCAAGCAACCTCGGTCTTACGACATATTTGAAAAAATGATTTACACAATTGAATGCTGACGAACAAAATACTTAAGTATTTGTCAAAAAAATAGGCCCATAAATCCAAGATTGGCAGTACAAAAAATATTCTCCGCTTAAAATTAATAAACAACAGAGTTTCAGCTTTTTAACGTTTCTAGAATACTGGATTCAAAATATCAATAGCTTAAACTTACTTATTTATACAGCAAGTTATGTGGATGTACATGCTCGTATATGTAACTGGATAAAGGAAACTACTAGACAAATTACTTATGTAACTTCTCCCAGATTGTACTCACGCTAATTTCAAATGAGATGACTCTAGAAAATGTGCAGAAAAAATTTATTGTTTTCTATTTTACAAAATAGATTAGACAAAAACTTTTTTAATAAAATCGTAAGTGTTTCAATTAGAAGTATGTATTCCAAAATTAACTACGAAAAATAATATGAAATTTCATACCGACTACTTTTACATCACTGGTTGACATGTTTCATTTAACTTGTCAACAAAGCTTATGTGCAAGGGTAATAAAACTACAGGTAGATATTTTATTTAAAACAAAAAACAATTTTTTATTAAATTTAGATTTTTTCATAAAATCAGTGTTTCTGTTATCAAAAACATTAAAATGTTATACATACATATATATACATACATAATATTTCCTCCGATAGAAATATCGGAAATAGAATAATATAATAATATAAAATACATATTAAGAAATATGTACGTAATGTAAAATATTTAGAAATTTTGAAATTTCTAGACTTTAAAAATTAATTTTAAAACGATATTTTTATTTATAAAGAATTTTTCAAAATCTTTTTATAAAGATTGTATGAATATAAATACATAATACGTTTAAATGCAATGGTGAACAAAATCACAATTTATTTGGTTTCCTTAAAATTTTTATAAAAAAAATTTACAAAAATTTCAAATAATTCCATCTATTAAAAAAAATCTGATGTGGTCGGCACATAACCGACCCCAACATATTATGCATGTTACCTATTTTAGTGAAAGTGTTATAAAAGATAATGAAAATGCATTTTTAACATTTCCTTTTAGCAAGTTTTTAGCTAACTTCCTTAAAACTAAACTTCCTTAAAGAATTTCGCTTTGTGCCACCAGAATCCCCCGAAAAGTTCATCAGTCAGTCCCGGTAACAACCAGAACTCAAATAACAAATTTTAAGAAATTCCATCAATCCGTTCCGTAGATATGTTCCCAGTTCGGTTTCCGAACCGTAACCTTTCCAAAAACTTTACAGATTTAACAATCCGAATTTCAATATTAAATTTCAAAAAAATTAGTTGATAAATTTCTTTTTGTTTACGCGAAAATGTAAAATTATCCCGCAAAAAGGTCCAATTCTCATGGCCTGGTGTATTCCAAAAGTTGACCAAGCCGTGCAATAGCCAAAATAAACTCACATATAAAATTTTATCAAAATCGGTTAAGCTGAACTTGAGATACACGCATGCACACATAGACCGATAGAATGACATCTCTTTGAAAGTACAGTAGAAATCTGCTCTAGTGAACGCCCGACTTTATGAACTTCCCAGTCGAGTGAACACGAAAATTTTAGCATTGACTGCCTTACACTGTGAACAAAAATTTTTATAAGTGCCCAGTATAGTGAACAAATTTTACAAAACTGTTTTTTTTTTATATTATTCTTTTTATTTTTCTAATTGTAACGGGATTTTTCAAGTTGAATTACAAAAGAGAGCATTATTTCGTTTATTTAACATATAAGTCATACATTGTGTTAGGTAATGGCATTCAATTAAAGTGTAATTTCGATAAAATAAAAGTGTTCAAGTTTTTTTTAAAATGCCGAAAACAAATATTAAAAGGAAACATTTGAATTTAAATGAAAAAATTAAAATTATAAAATCTTTAGAGTCAGGAGTAAGTGTTACAACATTATCTAAGAAATTTGGTATAGCTAAATCAACCGTGTGCGCGATTAATAGCAGAAAACTGAAGTTAAAAAGCCAAATTCGGTTACTAATTTAACCGAAAATGTGATAGAAACAGTTGAAGCAAAAATTTCTGATTATGAAGCCCTTGAACCGCTAAATAAGACTATACAATGGGCTGCAGACAACGATATCTTGTTAACCGACCAAGTCACACAAGAGAAAATATTGTTTTAAAAATTTCAAATAAAAAAAAATTCAAAAAAAAGTAACTGAATACTTTTCGAAACAATAAAGCTTTAAAAACTACTTTTTAGTTTAATTTATTTGACATTTAATACAGTGAACAGGTTCAATAGAACGAACAGCCTGTGTTTTTATTATGTTCACTCGAGCAGATTTCTACTGTAGTTCATTTACGCTTCTCTACTATTGAGAAATGCGTTCTCACCAAAATCTCGACATCTAAAATTTGGTGCCATCACATCAACTACGTCATTGTATTAAATGCGGTCGGCAAAAAAAGTTTTAGCGTTATTAACATTTTTACCGACCGTATTGTGTAAACAATAGGTAGGTGATGTGATGGCAACAAATTTTGCATATCGAGTTTTCGGTGGGAATGCACTTCTCCATAGTAGGGAAGTGTAAGTAAACTATTTTTAGCAACCTGTCGGTCTGTCGGTCTGTGTGTGCACGCGTGTATCTCAAGATCGGCTGAACCGATTTTGATGAAATTTTATATGTAAGTTTATTTCTACCATGGCACGGATCGATCAACTTTTGGTATATATCAGGTCTCGGGAACTGCACTTTTTAGCGGGTCTGTTTTACATTTTTGGACATTTTAAAGAAAATATTCTACCAATTTACTTGAAATTTTATATATAAGCTTATAGCTCGACCGTCCGCGAAAATTTCTATGTTTTGGAAGAAATCAGGCATCGGCAACTAGACGTTTACTACGGGCCAAATATACATTTTTGTGTATATAAAGAGAAATAATCAACCGATTTCATTGAAATTTAATATATGAATTCCTCGTATTAAAACAATGAACATATAAAGTTTTTGGAAAGATCAGGGCTCGACAACTGATTTGCGGGCCGATTTTACATTTTTCACCATTTTGAAGAAAATATTCAACCGATTTACTTGAAATTTCATATATGAGCTTTGCTCGACGCTCCGTGGAAATTCCTAGCTTTTGAAGCAAATCAGGCATCGGCAACTGGACGTTTACTACGGGCCAAATATACATACATTTTTGTGTATATAAAGAGAAATAATCAACCAAGTTCATTGAAATTTAATATTTCAATTCCTCGTATTAAAACAATTAACATGTAAATTTTTTTGAAAGATCAGGCATCGGCAACTAGACGTTTACTACGGGCCAAACATACACTTTTGTGTATATAAAGAGAAATAATCAACCGATTTCATTGAAATTTAATATATGAATTCCTCATACTAAAGCAATGAACATATAAATTTTTTGGAAAGATCAGGGCTCACAAACTGATGTGCGGGCCGATTTTACATTTTTCACCATATCTACGGAACGAATTGATGTAATTTCTTGAAATTTGATATTTGAGTTCTGGTTGTTACCGAAACTTACTGGCGAGCATTTCAGGGAATTCGGGTAGCACAAGCCAAATTTTACTAAGAGCCAAATTTACATTTTTCTAGGTATATTAACTATAAGCTTACTAAAGTCCTAAAAATTGAAAAGAAGTATTTAACAGACATTTTTATAATATTCTGGAACACTTTCATTTAACTAGACAATACACAATGCGGTCGGTTATGTGCTGATCACATCAGATTTTTTTTATTTTACTGTCAGTTTTTTTCATTCATTATACTAGCATATTTAAATTTTACGTGATACATATTATTTATATAACATTTCAATGCTACAACATACGCAAAATGGAAGTAAACTACACGCCTGCAAACATTGTAGCCGATACAAAAATGAATTTGACAACTGCAGTATTACCAGAAAAATTATACATAATTTTTATAAAAGGGTTTTATCTGTATAGCATAATATGATTAGTTTTAATGTAAGTAGATATGTGAACAAGAGTTTAAATTATTTTTCAAAATTAAATTTTATTATGTATATAACATTCATATAATATAATTTTAAAAAGTAAGAATTCAAAGTCCTCAAATAATAATACTATAGTAGCAAAAAAATTATCTTAAATACATAATTATTTCTATATGGACATAAATACATTCTTAAATTTCATTGAGAGGTTTTTGCATAAGTCATATGTACGAATCTTAATATTAACTTTTTACCATGAACACCGTTGACATTTGCTTACACTATATAATATAAAATGTGCTATTTGTTAAATGTGCAGGTGAAATAAGATAAAAACAATTAAAAATGTGTATTTTAAGTTCATTTACAAATCTTCAGGCAAATGTTATTTTAGAATTAAAAGAAAATTTCAATTTAGTGGCATTGCTGTAGAAAGCAGCTGTTTGCACAAAATGAAATAATTTGTTGAAGCCAACAACAAAATATTTTAACAGAAGGAAATCAACAGCTGTGCTATGTTTACCTCTTACATTTGACATTTAAGTTAAATTTTACAATTAGTGTTTATACCTTTGTACAGTATAAGTAATGTTTTTGAAATTTTTATTAAACTTATAATAAAATAGATTTAAAAATAAAATGTCCTTGAATTTTGAAGATAAAAGTGAATGCATTCCAATTAATTCTGATGAAAATAATGAGTGTAATATCAAAAGTTTTGCAGATTTACCAATTGAGGTGAGATTTGCTTTGGAAAATAAAAAAATTAAATCGCTAAATGTTAGCAATCAATAATTAAATACAAAGTAATATAATATAGACTTATGTATGGATATAGCAAATTCAATCGTAATTAACTAATGTATGATAGTATTAATTAATGTTACAGCTGTGTGGCACTTTAAAACAACTCAATGTGAGATTTTATTACGGATAAATTATAACGCTCCAATAACTAACACCTAAGCATTTTCGCAAAAGTATTTTATATAAATATGCATATGTATATATTTTATGTACACATTAATATTCAAAATAGCAACTAAATTTGGCATTGCATTTATTTTGTCTTATATATTTTTCTTATATATGTATGTACATATATACACATGTGTGATGTGAGCAAAAATTAAGTAAAGTGGAACATGAAAGAATAGTGAAGGATTATAATTTTCAGCAATAACCGAATACTATAAGCACTTGTTCCTCAAGAGTTAAAATAAAAATTTCCTTTTTTTGAGAGCAAAATTTTTGAATAAAAACTAATTTAAAAATGTTTTAATTAATCATTGTCGAACAGATAGTAAGCCCAAATTTAAGTTTTTAACTACTTACATATCTATTTAGTTTATTATTTATGTTAAACCCAACTTTATTAACTAAGGTAGGTATGTAGATATCATGTTCTTCTAACGAAATGAACTATTTTTTAGCGCTAAAAGTTGTTAAAATTTCAAACTCCTACAACCTGTTGTCTAGACAAAAACCGGTATCAAAAATTAAAAAAAAAACAGATTCTAGTGGTAGATGAAGCTAGCCACTAATGATCTGCGTTTGCTAAATTCGCAAAATGCTAATGGTTTCATTTTTTATTTTTTTCAAATTTTTTGAAAAAGTGCTAAAAACTGATCAAATTCATACTTATGTATGTAGTCACGGCTAAAAGGTGAAGTCATCTTGAGGTAGATAGTCCAGCTAATTTTTTTTTTCAACATTATAAAATTTCTACTGCTTTTGTTTAAAAAGATTAAAATCAGCAAATTCACAAAGTTATCCATACTCTGAATGCATTACACAACTATTATCAAATCAGTACCAACCTATAATTTTCAAATAATTACATACCATGATTTGAACTTTATGATGAAGAATGATTTGTAATTGATCTTTCATTGCTCAATGATACAACAATCTGAATTTTTCAAAGCTGCCACTAAAACAGTCTCTTGGTGCATCAACTGTAGCTTCAAACCAAAAAAATTTTAGTTAATAAAATTAAATCACTGAAATAAATTAAATCAAAATAGTGTACTAGATAAATGTTATTATTTTGCTTAAAATTTCTTCTTTTTTAAACAGCTACTTGAACGAATATTTGAACATCTACCATATTCAGATTTAAAGAAATCATCAACAGTATGCCAGAAATGGTGTCAAATATCTCAATTACCCAAGTTTCGGCAAAATATTATAGTCAGAATTCAACATTCTGAAATAGACCCAAGCAATTTACCAGAAGAAGTATTCCAAAAAAGTACAAGAAAGTTTTCAAATTTACATTATGGTGATAAAAGTTCAAACTACAAATTATGTATGAAGACTTTTTTAAAAATGTCGAATATTTTCGAAGACTTGGAGTATTTTAAATTAGAAAATATTACATTAACCTTTGAAGAATTATGCATTTTATTGAATCGAATGAGAAATCTGAAAAGTTTATCAATTTATAACTGTAATTTTGAATTGGATACATTACAAAATATCGAAGAAAAAAATCTTAAATCAATTAAAAACACAATGAATAATTTACTATGTTTTGAATTTCAAGAAACAAGTATGATATGTTACGAAAATTTAAAAAAAATAACAAATATGTTAATGAATTTAGAAATTTTTAAGCCTGGCTTTGGAAAAATGGGTTCATATTCGTATTCTGATGCCACAACTGAAACAGATATTCTATGTTCCATTATTGAGAAAAATAAAACAACATTAAAGCAATTGCATATTCCAATGTATCAAAATAAATTACCTTTGTCGGCGGTGTATCAAATACGCAATTTAAATTTAGCATATCTTTCACTTGATTATAATTATTATTCCCCGCCAGCTACATTAAGTCTAGATACCTTCTTACAAGCTCATGTTAATTTAATTACCTTAGTGGTTTCAATTAGCAGTTATAAAAAATTAGATTTAGAATTAATTGCTGACACTATGGATCGGTTGGAGCGATTGGAAATTACCGCTAGCTGTAAAAATATTTATAATTTTAATCTGATGACTATTTCAAAATTTAAAAAATTAAAAGTATTAAAAGCACTTAAAAGACCATCTCATAGCTTTTCAAGCATTGATTTAGCAAGTAATATGTTACTAAGAGAATTGCAAATTCAAGATATGAATTTAACGGAAACTGATATAATCAACATAAGTGAAAGATTACCAAATTTAGAAACGCTTATTTTGCAACGCGTTTTACTTACAGATGCTGGACTACAAGCCGTTATAAAAAATTTATTAAATTTGAGATATTTAAATTTGGAAAACAAAAGTAATCGAGATTCAGAAGTAAATGCATTTTATTGAATTAATATTTTTTGTAATTTTTACTTTAATCGACAGGTGACTGATTATGGAATAAGTGGTTTTGACACAAGTACAAATGCGCAATCTGGAACTTCTATAAAGAATTTGAAGAGTTTGGAATATTTGCAGCTATCAGGTGTTAAAGTTACGTCAGAAGACTGTTTAATAAATAATTTAAAATTTTCAAGAATTAGGGAAATTTTTATTTGCAATTCTCCTCAAAAAATTAATTTAACGTTTTCAAAAATGACTATGGTGTTTGAAAATTGCCCCAAACTTAAGAAAATCACTATAAGATAAAAATATTTTTTTAATTATTTAAAAAAAAGGGCATTCCAAATAAATCTAATTTAAATAAAAGACTTGATTTTTTGTATCAATTTTTAAAAATTCATTTATTTTCCGTATATTTTACAATTCGTGCTTGTCGTTTACCTATAATAGTATGATTATTAATGAATTTATTTTAACGAGAATTAATTAACCCAAAATTTATAGCTTTAAGCTAGGTTTAAATGACTTATAAAAAATTTACTACCGAAGTGATTATACGAGGTATTTAAATTATCGTATATTGTACTATAATGTCTAGAATTTTGGTATCTAACAGTAATTAATAAAGTATAATGAGAATAGAATTAGATACAATGTTTTTTTGAGGACTACTGATGGTAAACTGAAAATTTTTAACTCATTTTTAATTGTGAGTATTCAATATTGAAAGGTTGTGTAAATCATTTTGTTAATTTTACATCATTAACGGTTACGAAAGTGAACAATCTATCTTGAACAACAGTTTTTCTGAGTTACATGTATTTAGCATCCTATTTTTTTTCTTCATTGCTGAAAACCAAAATGATTAACTTTTGTAGATTATAAATAAAAAAGAAGTAGCTTCATAATAACAACACCAACACTGGCAAAATTTATTATTACTATTGTAAAAAATTTAGGCTTTTATTAAAACAAATGCAAGTGATAACCAAACTAAAATAATTTATTATTTTTTCCAAAAATTTATTCATTTATTACAGTAAATTCCAGAACCCTCACAAACTATAAAAACTGTTGAAATTTCACACAAGCGAATGTATTAGTAGGGCCAACGTGTTGCCCTAAAAAAGGAATTTTTTAGTTATTTATTGCAGTGAAACCATAAACCTTTTTCAAATTTTGCAAATGTACAAATATAGTGCCTGACTTCTACCAGGAAATACCATATTTGAACTTTAAAAACAAAATTTTCTTTAACGAAACTAACTACATACTAACTAGTGTATAAAAGCTGCTAAAATTTCAGACTCCTACAATTTACGGTCTAGACGAAACACGACATAACAAGTTTGGAAAAAAGGATTTTATATGATTTTATGAAATTTTAAGGGTAATCTTAGTTTTTTAAAGTTCAAGTATGATATGTGGTTTTATCGTTATTTTTTGAGTTATCGTTGGGACAGACAGACGAACGCATGGATGGTTAGTAAAACATTAATTAAATGTAGAAAGAACGTGGTGCAATTGTTTCATGGAAACAATTTCTCCCCTGTACTATTTTTTCCCTAAAAATAGTACAGGGAATAAAAATGTTGAAGAATCGACAAAAAAATTATGGGGAACAAGTAACAATATAAGTCAATAGCCAAATACATGGGATATAAGGCTAAATGAAAGTAAATCCGTACATGAAATTTCACAAACAGAAATTTAGTGAACCCACCACAGTTGAGTTGGAATGATACTAAAGTACAAAAAAAAAGTACAGCGAAATACCTAGGTATGACTTTGAATGTCAAGCTAAGATGGAAAGAATATGTAAAGAAGAAAAGAATAGAACTAGAAAACTAATACAGATAAAGTTATTGGCTCTTGATTGTAGGTCTGGATTGTCAAAATACAATAAGCTTTTCATATATAACCAAATGATAAAGCCTATATGGACATATGGCTTACTGCTGTGGGGTTGTTTCGAGCAAACACATATCGAACAAATACAAACTTTCCAGAACAAGGTCCTTCGTAATATAGTGGGTGTTCCCTGGTATGTGCGCAATAGTGATATTCACCCCCAAGTAAATGAGGAAATAAGGAACTGTGCCATGAAACGAGCTCTTAGTGTTCTACAAAAGTGTCAAAGTAAAGCTAATATTAAATTGCAAATTTTTCGTTATCTTCAAAAAAAAAGTTATTTGCCGGCTTTGCTAAACAGATATACAAATTTGTTATAGAAGAAAGTGGAAAAAATAGTACGACCTTTTTTGTTCAAATCTAAAACATTTACACAAAAATTTACCAGAAACATTTTGTTGTAAGGTGATACATTGGCTGTACACATTCTTTAATTTTATCTATTTTCATGATAAATCCTCCTTTTTTACCGCATAAACCTAAAGTTTTACAATACAAATGCAATATAGCATGTGCGTTGTTTCCTAAAGAATTTACTATAAATAATACAACTCATATTACTGAACAAAACAATTTAATATTAAAGTTTATTTGTGCAAATTAGACGACTTAGAATAGTAATTCTACTTTACGAAGCTAGATTCATTTTGGATAGAGTTTTTTCTCGATATTAGATACATTTTGCTTTAACGAGTGGGAACGCTATAATTTACAAATAACTTATTATGAGAATTGGTTTGAGATGAGATTACATTTTCTTTTTGTTTACTGTTTTGCCATGTTTTGTTTTCTCTTTGTGTACGTTATTTCTTGATATCTTGATTTCTCGCTGCAATTTATGTATTATATATGTATATGTAAGGGAACTGGAAGTTAAAAACAATACTAGCTTAATTCGAAATATAAATTGCGCTTTAATGCTGAAATTGCAAATAATTTTAAGACGGTTTTTAGAATAACTTTAAGTTCGAATCAAGCTTTGAAAGCTTATGATAATGTTGATTCATTCTTTGATACTTGGTAAATTTTTAATATCTACTCCGAAAAAATTTATTATCCACTAGATCAAGACCTGACATAAGTAACGGAAATTTATAAGGAAGATACTCCAGAGAAAACTAATTAGGAAAACAATAGTCGAAAGCGTTTCACAAATTCACCCAGTTTAAAATGAAATAAAATTAAAAAATTGAAAAATAATTGTAAGTAAAATAACATCGAAAAAATATATATATATACGGGGTGATTCAGAAAGGTATACAACAAGATATACCATTGGGTAGAGGGTCAAAAAAGGGTAAAACTTTTGTTCGGAAGTAGGCGTCAAATCTCAATGGTTTGCGAGATATAGGGATTTTAAGAAAATTTGGTAGAGTTTTTACTTTCTCTCATTATTTCACTTATAGCTCATAATCTAAGAAAGATAGAGGCTTCCAACCAAATTTTTTTTAAAAGAGCTTATTAAGACCTTTAAAATTAAGGTATGACTTAAGTTTGTGAATTTTGTACTTTCGGAAAGATAGGCACTACAATTAAGAAAATTTTCATTTTTTTTCGATTTTTTTTTTTTTTTGTTTTTTTACCCCCACATTCTTATAAGAAATTTTTCGAAACTTCCAATTTTTTGTTTTTCAATTTTTGCCCTATTACTTAAGCTTTAATTTAATGCAAAAATAATGAGAACAACGTTTATGGTTCCAGAGATATGATAAAACAACCATTTGTATTGGAAAATTTCAAAAATTTTATTTAAAAATAAATTTGTAAAAACTTATTCTAATTTTTATTTTATTCTTAATGTTTTGTAATTATTTTTAACAACAATTAATTTGTTATGTAAATTATTAAACAAAACATTTATTTCAATAATTTAAAAAAAAAACTTCAGGTACATAAATAGTTCAATAAATTCAATAATGCAAAATAATGTTAAATTAAAAGCATTGCTTTCGATAATGCAAAAGAAATACCTTCAGCAGGTACATTATTTAAAAAAAAAAAGTACTATTGAAATAACCCTTTGAGTAAAAGCCAAGTTTAAATAATATTGAATTTGGACAAAATATGAATAAAACTGCTTTTATTTCCGATAAAGTTCACAGGGTTAAAAATCACTGTTATTAATAATTATTACTTTTGTTAATTTTATAATTAATATGCCCTTTATTGACTTACAAGTGGTCGTTAGATAAGTGATAAATTATTGTAATTAAAAAAATTGATATGTTTTCCAATGAAGAGTATGCTGATATTCACTTGGTGTATGGTATGGCAGGAAAAAATTCAGCTTTAGCAAAAAGAATTTATCAAGAAATGTATCCCCTCCGAAATGTCCCTAATTCTCGCACTTTCGTTGATGTCGACAGAAAATTGAGAGAAAGAGGAAGCTTCTCAAATAAATCTTTAGAAAGTGGAAGGTTCATAACAAGACACCGCCAACCAGAAATGGACCGAATTTTAAGGGAAATTAGAAGAAAGCCAGAAACGAGTACAAGGAGGATAAGTGCCACAAACATCTGTTTGGAGAACACTTAGAAAAGAAAAGTTTCACCCATACCATTTGCAGGCGGTACAGAGTTTAGAGTTGCCACAATGCGTAAAACATTTTGCCAAATAATGAAAAATATGACGCGAATTGACCCAGCTTTTCTTAGCCACATTCTATTTACGGACGAAGCAACTTTTACCAGGGATGGCATTTTCAATTTTCATAATTGCCACATTTGGGCACGAAGAAACCCACATTCTGTAGTGGAAACCAGACACCAGAGGAGTTTTAAAATAAATGTTTGGTGTGGCATTATTGGAAAGGTGTTACTTGGTCTCTATGAGCTTCCAAATGTAAGTGGGCAAACATATCTCAACTTTCTTCAACATCATTTTGAAGAAATAATTGATGATAACTTATCACTAGCCATGAGAAGGAACATGTATTTTATGTATGATGGGCACCAGCACATTCTGCAAGAGAAGTTAAAAGATACTTGGAGCAAAATTTGGAAGCAAATGGATCGGACGTGAGAATAGAATAAAAAGAGAATAGAAAAATGTATAGCACAAGAAGGTGGACATTTTGAACATTAAATTTAACATTATTTTGCATTATTGAATTTATTGCACTATTTATGTACCTGAAGTTTTTTTTTTTTTAAATTATTGAAATAAATGTTTTGTTTAATAATTTACATAATAAATTAATTGTTGTTAAAAATAATAACAAAACAAAAAGAATAAAATAAAAATTAGAATAAGTTTTTGCAAATTTATTTTTAAATAAAATTTTTGAAATTTTCCAATACAAATCGTTTTTTTATCATATCTCTGGAACCATAAACGTTGTTCTCATTATTTTTGCATTAAATTAAAGCTTAAGTAATAGGGCAAAAATTGAAAGACAAAAAATTGGAAGTTTTGAAA